CCGAATATCTTCTACCATCCAGCCTCTAAAATTATTCGGATCGCCCTATTCCAACTTTTTTAAACCATAAATATTCTTCCGAAGGATTACTCCGTTCTTTGCGCGTGAATTAAGGTGCTCCCATCAGAGACAGATCTCTTTCGACGCCAGATAATGTTCAGTACTTTCGACACCCGATTTCATTTCCGAATACCGATACGAAGCATTCTAATCCATGAAAGTTATCTGGTTTATAACAAACGCCGAACGGAAACAGATATTATGCAAAAATCTATAGCATAATGGTCTGATTTAATGAATCCATCCGTCAACCATGCCGAACCAAGGTAAATTCAATTATTTTGCGAATTTTCCAGCATTGCGGATCAATACGAAGCTCCACAAGGGTTGAAAATATATCATCCAGATGTGATTGTTTCCCTAGTTTTAGTGCTCATCGCAGCAATAAGTAGTTGTGGAAGGAGAAGTAGTTTTAGTTGGTTAAACGGTAAGGTGGGAACGTGTGGCGCAGTGGTCGGAGGTGCCCTGCTGTACACATGGGATCGATTCCCGCTCCCTGGTCCGCCAAGCCTTCTACCTCTCTGGGGTCGACAAATTGGTACCAGACTTGTCTGAGAGGATAGTAGCAGTGACTCGATACATCGGTAGGCCACTGCGACTCATTGTGAAGGCCAGATATGCATTCAGTGACCTCCAAACGATGCTTAGTGAAGTCCAGTGCATAGCGCGTCCCTAAGGGATTGATCAAAGCCGAGAGCTTTATCCATTGTTTTATAAACGGTACGGTCGATCTGGACTAATGAACTGAAAACGACCACTGTCATTTTCTGCTTTTCGTCACTCAGATAAAATATGGATAAGGGGTTCGGCGTCAATTAATCCGATAAGGACGGCCTAAATCACTAATGGTCTATCGGTGTATCAGTTAAATGTTTTTGTTCTCCCAGAGAAATCTGGTAACAAGTTGACCAATCCATGGAGTTGGGGACGTCGTTAGACCATTGACCTGTATTTGAGCCGTAGAACATGTCTGTTGCAAAGCATCTATAACCGCTACGCTACAGGTGCCTCTTTGTCAAATAATTCTATAAAGCGCTTTATTTCTTTGAAGACTAACATTTAGTAGGTCCATAAACGGTGGTCTGAATATGGATGTGATAAATACGGAAGCTAAATACACTAACGTTGCGGTTTCCAAGACTGTCGTACATTTTCAGATACACCCCTATATCAGAGAGGACTCCAGTTCAGAGAGTGGTAGAGGACTATCGAAGATCTGATTATCGATACGACGATCAGGGAAGATCGTAAGCCTTTTCTTGTAGGATTTGAATTTGTGAAACGCAATGTAACTTAAGTCGGATTTGTCAACTTTGTTGCGCCATAACATGCTGGCCGTAAAGCTTCATAATAAGCCGGTTCTCATTTTTTGCCTCTGGGCCATTGTCTGGCTTTTGTATTTACCGCATCGCGATGTAAAGAATTGCTTGCAAAGAAATTAAGCTCATAAAGTAGAATTATTGTGGTGTCGCTGAATTCATTCAAGCCATGCCTTCCAAATTTTATACTCAAAAGACGATAATGTAGGCGCCTACTCCTTCCATTCCATGAAAGCATTGCTTCTTATCTGAGAATTCTCTCAGTGAAGAGTCCATGCAGTAAATGTTATACATATTTTATTATAATGGTTGTAATTATTAAGGTTAAGGGTTCCATCCATATATTCGACTTCATCAATCATCTTACAGATGGTCGAATGCATATTTATCTCATAATATTTTCCGAATGCCACCAATCCATCAAATCAGCGTTTTTACCCTCTCAGAAAAATCTGGTAATGGTATCAATTTTCTGACCCCGGAGAGATGGTAGGATTGGTTAGACTAGGACTTGAGATCGAATCAACGAACACATGTTTTTTGCATGGTGCTCCTAAAACTATATGGAGCCGAATGAAGTTAGAAGATTTAATTAAGGGATGAGGTTTGTTAGATTTCGGGAGAAATACTGTAGTATTTGTATATGTTGCAAATATTTGAGGAATTATGATCAATAAACAAAATTCTGGAGTTAATTGTCTTTTGCCGCGAATGTCTTTTTTTCAAATTGGATATTCTAAAAAGAAATTCATTTGAATGGCTCGATATAAGCTAGGTAATCGAGGCAGCGTTTTGTGGGTTGGTTGCGGTCTTATGTGGTTCTGATGAGCTCTTAACTCTTCCAAATACTGTGACACGTCAATTAGCCGCAGGGATGGCTCAGTCCATGCTTTCGCTTCTCTTTTTTTTTCTGCAAACTTTATTAACTCGGCACGGCCATGCGGTTTATGGAATTTCTTGGGTTCAGGCGGCCATTAGTTGGTAGTTGTTTGGTGTGCTTCTACTGCTCAATAACAGTCGTACATCATCACGTTCCTATTGTTGTCATGTCCAGCCGGAAAATTTCACAATTGTCTAGTTTCAAGCGGTTTATCCAATCCACTGCAAGAGTCTCGATCGTCAAGCACATTACTAATGAATATTACATTAACTGTAATACGGTAAGGTGAACGATGTACGATTGGCCACCATAAATAATAAGTGATAAAGTGCTGGGTCTTGGTCAGTTTTTCAGGGATGCGACATGCTTCTGATTCCATTGTCCATCGTCGTGGTGATTGAATAGGTATTTGGTTTATGCAGTAACTTTCAAAGACTTAATGGTCTCTCCAACCAGTGTTTTTATCCTCTCAGACAAGTCCGCTTCCAATTTGTCGACCCCGAGGCATGAAAGACTGGGTTAGCATGGAATATGAGGTCGTACTAATGACCGCATTTGTATTGCAAAGCCCGTCTAACCGTTGTGCTACACATGCCGTTTTTACTTTATTGAATTCCAATAGGTAATGCTATCTGTCTTTACTAAGTGCTAATTAAGTTAAGGAATTATTGGATGTTTTAATATGCCACTTGTTTTAACTTTATAATTAAAATTGAATTCCTTTTTCTAAAATGACATCATTATCGACAGGAGGGAGGAGTGGGAAAAGGCGTTGGCATCTAATGAATTCTCTTTAGCAGCAAAAAGGCTAAACCAGAAGGCGTTCAACCAAATGGAAATTATGCTGGGCGCACGGCAGGGGAAGATAGGCTATCCAAGTATTCAAATAATTAGGTAACATCATACCAAGGCACGAATGAGACAATGTGAGAGTGAAGGTCGATGGCCGTTACATCATCTTCGCTTTGCAGCTGATATCGTTCTTATAACATGGAACAATGGCCAACAGACGGAATGAACACTGGACGATTTCAAGGGCAAGTCTGAGAAGATCGTCTACCGTTAATTCTGAAGAAGTTCCTTTCCACATTCAATGAAGTGAAGATATTTGAATGTTCCAGCTATGTATATGGCTATTAACGTTAACATGGTAAACGACTTAGCTGCGTACTTGAGCAGGAAGAAGCATCCAACCTATGGAGTTTACGAAGACGATGAATATATGAAAAAGAAGACAAACAACCTCCAGCTTCGCGACCAACTTGCGACTTGGCGATTCCTTCTGCTTGTTTCTAACGCGAACCTGGACGTCGCTGTAAACAAGATGAAGAACTAGTCAGTATTATTGAAGCCGCTATCGATCGATTGCTCTGGAACGGTGCACTCTTATGCTAGTGGAAGACAAATTTCAGTTGTCAAGGATCATAAATACTTCTCTATTTTTAAAATGTCGGAAATTAAATACGCCGGACACGACAAGAATCTGTTCGACAAATCCTGTAAGCGATTTAGCCCCATAGGGTGTTAAACTCGCGAACGAGCCTCTATGGTCAGACTTTTGTTTTACGAAGATGAATCTAGTGAATTCATCTACATGAATAACATGATGATGTATGTGCCTTTTGTGGGGACATAACTCACCAAGCTATTCTAACATGCGATAACAACGAACGGAAGCGCCTCATTGGCATCCGTTTGCGTTCACTTAGTCATTAATAGCAGAGTGGGTGAAGTTTTTTCTCTTTTTTCAGCACTAGACTTGATTATCTATGGATTTGTCTCGAAACTACATAGAGAGTTACAACAGAGGAAAGTACTCAACGTTTCAAACTTTTCGATTCTTCCGGGGTCGGCACAGCACTATTCCAGGAGGATAAAACGTGCTGGTTTGAACGCTTTCTGGATTTCCAGAAGTTGTTGTAAAGGCCAAATATGTAATCGTTCACTCTACTATGCCTAGTGGAGTCCATAGCTCATGGCGCATCTCTAAGGGATTGCACCATGCTGAACGCGTTATCGTTTATTATATTGACTGCAGAAAACAACGGCAAGTCAAATTATAGATGAGTAGCTGAGATACTGACATCTCATTTCGTCATAAAACCTTGCGTAAAGAAGAGAAAATAACAGGGTTGAATATTTTAGCTGAACATTTCGGTTTTTAATACGCCATAGCCCTGATGGATGTAATTCAGGCTCCAATTTTAATGTATTTCAAGCGTCTTTTACGTAACAAAGAACGTGAATCATACTGTAGGATTCGTGCCATGATTCATTCCATGTGAATCATAACACACCTTTGTCTCTCGTTTTGATTTTTGCTAAGCTGACAGCAAATGTAGGTATAGGCCTTTTTTTCTGAACATTGACATTTTTGCACTGCTGCTGTTTTGAAAACCGATCTATCATTTCCAAAAGTTTTTCTATCCAATCTCGTCAAATTTTCTAACTTCAAGTGATATGAAAAAGTTAGGAGCAAAATAGGGAAAAATGATGCTCCAATTTTCTTTTTCAAAAACTTCTCCCCCCTTGCCTTATCCAGTTGCCATTAACGACTTCATCAAAGTTTCGGAGCTGGAGCGAACACTGTATCAGACAAAAAAGCCTTTGGACTAAACGCGTAGAAATTCAATATGTAGGCTAAAGCATCTTGGCCATTTTTCGTTCTCCACCTACATGGAGCGCTAAGGTCGCGAAACGGATTAAAACTTGGAAAATTTTAAAGGGTTCGGAGCACTACTCTACCCAGGATGCCCGAACTCTCTCAAGTGTTCGACGTTTCGGTCGGTGATCGCAAACACTCGAGCGTTAGTGTTGAACTGGCGACCACCGTAACAACCATAATGGCAGGCAGAGCGATGTGCTGCAATCGAACCATTTGTCGGGCGGACAGACGGACGGTCGAGACGGCAAGAGTCTGTCTGGACGTACTTCATCCAAGTGCTACCTCTGTCTGTTTTCTCGAGTCCACCTACACACAACCTTCCGTTAGCTGCCATCCTTTCTTGCTTCATAACCCTTGCTCCAACGGTTCATCAGCCTGTTGCCTTCGAAACTGTTCATACTTCTAATTTTCTCAGTAATATCTCTTAAGAATTAAATCCATGCTGGTTAAACGTCTCGATTTTGTTTTTGATTTTAGTTGTTAGGAAACCTACGTAGAAATATATGGTGAAAAAGTTGTGAATTGTTTCTTTTTTTGAAGTAGATAATCTTCTTATAAGGCAAAAATTGAAGCGTTGACATTCAGATTTCAGTTATTCCAGTTTTTTCGCCGTTCCTTTGGCCCGTATCCGATTGGACGTTAGCGTAGAGTAGAATTATACGGCGCTATTGTTTCCCCAAAACGGCTAGATCCAATTACATCGTCAGCAATGCATCGAGTACAAGTGCTAGACTATCGCGTGTTTCGAGTAGAGGAGTCAAAAATTAGGAGCTTCCCCGACAGGACTCTGCAAACCTTTTGGCAAAAAATTCAACGAAGAACAAGTACAGCAAGAAAATAGTTAAATCATTTAGCAAAAAACCATATAAGTAGTCAATTCGTGTATTCGATGGCTTCAGTTAGTTTTACGTGTAAGTGGAAGGTTTCCACGAAATCGCGTTCGAAACATGAGATTTTACTAGGACGAAAAATCTCCTCAGTCGCTTTCCTAGACGCATCTCTTGTGTTCTTTCTGTTTGCAACAATCTTCTCCCAAATAGTTTACCGACGGAGATTCCTCATCCCACCCAAGCAATTCATTCCCCGATCGCCACGTTCGCGGGAAAACGCGACCTCGCCCCCGCACTCATTCTCGCCACTTTCGCTCTTCATTCTGCCATATTCACACTACTATCGATCGAGCGTGATTTACTTCATCATTTCTGTCCGGGGTTCGCGTGGTGTGTTCCCGAATGAATGAAGCATCTGCTGCCGGTTGACGACGATGACCGTGTCCTCTCAAAAACCATGCGACCGTGGTCGAGTGTTTCGCGATTTCGATGAAGACGATCTCGATTCGTATTTGGAGGGTTCGCTAATCTCTGAACGACTTGGAGAAGTCACTGCTGACGCGAATTCACGAAAAAGAATCATAACTATATTTCCATGCATGTCAACAAGTCCTATGAACACAAATACATGCGCTCTGGAAACGGTTTTCACGTCCAAGTTGGAGACGATATTCAGGTAATTGCCTTGATGGATCGTTGCCTATTCATTTGTTAGTTGTTTCATTGAAAATCCCGAACATTCGGGAGCGTTAGTATACTAAAATTTTTGGGTGAATTTCATTCAGAAGTGGTTTTGAGGTTTAATGTTTGACGACTTTATCTGTTAGACGTCGAGATCTCTCCGTTATCATAGACGAAGCCGGTTTCGAAGAACCTGTAGTAGCTAAATATCCATTGTTAATGAAGCTCTCTATCATTAATTCTACGCTCTGTGCAGTTTAGTGACATGAAAAGAAGAGTTGTCCATTCTTTAGCCTTCCGCAGTTTCCTTCTACATTCATTCGCTTACTTTTTTATTCTGTTCATTGTTCATTTCATTTGTATTTGTTCAATTCTTTTCTTTTTTAGAGATACACTATGTAGTACCTCCTATCATATTCCACAATTCAATGAGTGTCCTTTGCTGTATTCTAAGTATTGGACTTTCTATGGATTCTGTTTCCCTTTCAATCCATTTTTTTCATGATATTTGAACAGGATTTCAATTTGATAGCTGAAGTTCATGGAATCCTCCCATAATCTTTGGTTGTTGTCAACCCATGGTGAGCTCCTGGTTGTCGTCAACAGTCAACTGGCATCACTCAAAACCTCACAGTAATCAAAGAAGATCGTTTCAACATCGGATCCCATCTTTACAAATATCATTTCCTAGCGCTTCTGCTTAGTCGTCACATCCTCAGAATAGATTTGGTTTCTGTCTGGGAATGGAATCTACACTAATATTCTTTACTCGGTGACATACATCGTTTTCACGTCGAATTTTAAATCATCATCGTCATCACTGTTGAATTTTCTTCGAGGTTAACAGAAGGTTTCCTTGAAATTAACACAAAAAAGTGTTTTACTCGTGTCATAATTGTTCTATCTTAGTCTTTCATAGCTGTCCGGTTGACATTCTGTTCATCGTCGCCCTCCGATCGTTCTGTGAATCACTTGACGACTCAGATCGTCCATTCTAATGGACTGGCGACACATGCATGATTGAAATTGACCTTGTGACATGACATTTTTCGCTAGCCGCTTCTTTAGCGTTTCCTTTGTCAGCTGTTAATGGTATGAACCATCACGAAGACCACTACAACCAGATCGTACTGAATTTGAACATGGTATTATTCATATACATATATATTTATATGTACATATAAAAGCTAGAAAGCTCTTGGCGTTGATCAATCCTTGAAGGATACGCCACGCATTCGACTTCATTAAGCATCGCTTGGAGGTGATTCAATGCATATCTGGCCTTTACAATGACTCGCAGTGGCCTACCGATGTATCAAGCCAGTTCTGCTATCTTCCCAGACAAGCTCGTTACCAATTTGCCGACGCCGGAAGCATGGAAGGCCTGGTGGGCCATGGGCGCTGGGATCGATCCCCACGTGTGTGTTGCAGGGCGCCTCCGACCACTGCGCCACACTCTCCTCTTATATACATACATTTATATATACATAGTGCCGAGACCATTAATATGTTAACTTTATTTGTAAAGCCATATTTTGAATGGTAATAAGATGAGATTCCAAGGAAACTTCCTGCGACCTCTATTGCATTATATAATTGTTCTCCTTTCTTTATTTGTTATAGACTTTCTTTTTCAGTGCTTCATATTTGAAATTAATTGTGGATTCAGAACTTCTTCTTTGTTACGTTTCGGAAAATTTGACTGTTTTCTCCACTTGGTTAGAAAATTAACCAGGAATCGACCTTGTTCAGTACTTTTTCGTCGAGTTTTTTTCAGACTAGCGCTATAAAATGTAGTCAAACTAGTCGAGAAGGAAAATCCCGAAAATGCCTATAACATTGTCGTTTCTTCTTAGGTTGCTTTTCATTGTTTTTTATCTTTGCCGGCTTCCGTTTTATTCACACCAATCGCTTTCGAATCGTTGTACTTTATGTGAAAGCAAGCAAAACGGCTCCGATGTGTTTTAGCGTTGAGTTCAAAATGTTCGATATAATCAGATTAGTACAGCTTTCGATCGTAAAGGATAGAATAGACTAGGTACCTACTCTGCTGTTGGTCGTTGGCTAAGCCAACCTGGAGCCAATAAGCTCTCCATTCGTCCATGTTATGTACTGAAGTTATCCATTGGATTCATTTGGTTCTAGGGACTCTTTGAGCATTATATGATTCCTTTTAGATGAATTCTAGATCAGATGTTCTAGTTGATCCTGCTCATTATCATTGATTCCTCGTGCCAAGCTCCTCCTACGCTGGTGTCGACTCTTCATCTTCAAATATGTCAACTCATTGTAGTTGAGTATATAATGGAAGACGATGCTAAATGATTTATGCGAAGACGATTAAGGATGACTTTGAAATGTCTTATTTACCAATTTAGCGCAGAACCTTCGTCGTCGATAAGTTCTAATTTCCTTAGGTACTCATCACCAGTTTGAATTTTATCAGTGAAGGTAAGCTGATGTGTTAAAGAAGAGACAACGTTGAGGGAAATCTTCTTATGAAGATGAGACGGCATGACATGCTTTCCTTCAGCTCCTTTCATCTGATTATTTGTATTGTGTTTCGTACATTTGGCTTGCATTGTAAGCGAGCAATGATTAGGTAGATGGTTGCAAAACTTTGATTGGTTGAACCTTGGCAACCAAAACACTCACTTAAAAGTAGATCCTAGTAGGTGGAAGGGTCTTTTATGTAGTAGAATTACCGCTGTAACTAGAATAAAAAGTAGCGATAATGAAATTTTGAGACATTTACAAAACTCCGGATCGCAAGTGTCTGCGGTGGGGAACGAATGCGATATTACCCTTCCCGAGGGCTAACGCGTTCACCACCACACCATGCGGGTCCTTCGTTTCGCTTGTCTCCCAGCTACTTCTATCGATCACTGTCATCAGCAATCACTCGTCAGCGAGATTGATCTGGGGAGCCCAAATCGGCAACGAATCCAATTAAGCTGAGGCTGTAGTTGTAATCATCTTAAAGGAAAGGGTAATAGCGGGTTCGTTTCCCACCACAGACATCTGCTGTCCGGATTTTTGCAAATATCTCAGCATCATAGAAGTTATATTACGCAGCATACCCTGCCATTAAAAAGAGTACCCAGTAAATGAAAGGGTTAAGAATAAAATTTTGATTTGTGCAATTCAACATTTGCCTTACTATAACACATTCCGACACCGGCTCTTCTGAGCGGAATGCAATGAAGAAATCTTGTTTTCCTAGAAAAGGACAGTAACCTCCTGCAGTTCAAAGCAAATATTTTCCAACTATCACATAAATTGTTACCGTGCGCAAACATTGTGGTGTTGATGGAACCTTCTGAAAATTGTCCTATGATGTTTTTTCTCCACATTCCATTAGTGATATCAATTACGGTTCTGGTTTTTCTTTCAGAAGAGAACAAAACTGCAGTGTAGTTATCTACTAAAGCAATCCAACATGGCTACTCCGTTACAGTTCATCGTGCCTACTCAATAATATCTTAATGTTTAAAACAAGAGGAATGTTTTTTATTTGTTCTTCTCCAGTACTAGGCCTCGCCGCAGTATTCGATTACTCATCAGGGCCACAGAACTCCAACCAAAAGAGAAAAGAGCGCCGCATCATCGGTGATCTAGTTGTAGTCGGAAGCGGGGATTACGAACAAATCGGTTTATCTGGATCGAATTTGGATAATGCCTATATTCTATTAACACTCAAGAATAAAAAGGATAGAAGAGGAGGCTTTCGGCGTCGATTAATCGTTTAGGTATACGCCACGCATTCGACTTCAACAAGCATCGTTTGATTCAAGCAAATGCATATCCGGCCTATAGAGTGACCTGCAGTAGTCTGGTGACGTATGAAACCAGTCTCGTTATCCTTCAAGGCAACTGTGGTACCAGTTTCCTGATACCAGGGAATGGAGGGCTCGGTGACCATAGGACACACGATCGAACCGATGACTACTTGTGTATTAAAGTGCACCTCTAACCACTACGCCACACTCAACTTCATTCACAGAGGCTAGCATTGATTCTTATTACGACTGCAGAACTTTTCTGAAGGCATGATTGATGGATTGATTCTATATACATAAACGGTCTCATTAAAGGCCCGTAATAGTTTTGAGTGTCTTGAGAAATGATAATTACTCGACCTTCGTACGTATCCTCTGAGATCCTTAGCGATGAGACTGCTCTTATTGAGTGGTTTTGATTTGGTTCTTTGTGGAAAACCTTTAGATTAAGGCGAAATCTTCCTTCTTATCAGTCTGATTATAATACTGGAATGATTCACTATTGGGATTAACTCGCCTTAAGAGAAATTCTTTGCAGAAAAAAAATGTGTCTTTGGAGAGAATCGAAATGACTTCTTTCTGCGATTGTCCGCTTTACTACGAGATCAGAAAAGAATAACCGGACCATTCTACCTGAAATAAAAATCTCTTCTCTACGGTTATTTTCAACCATCGGCGATCAACCAGCTCGTTGAACTTTGTACGTATCAATTCGTCAGAAAAAGCGACTGGCTCATCAGAATTTGAAATTCTGCGCTTTGAATCTCGTCTGTCGGTCTACATAAATTAAACTCTCGCAGACTGTAATTCATCAATTTTTTGAACTTAGATTCATAATACATCCTTTTTGTAGTCATAACTTAGGTTCTCCTTCCATCCCGACTCATCTCTAGTTCTATCTTACAATCTTGTATCTCTTCTAGTTCTTACCCCAAAAATAAACAACGATTTGATTCATTTCTGCAGTTTTGATGCTTTATTATACATCATTTTGTAATACTTTACTGTTACTGGAAAAGGCTATCAGGAAGGGTTACGGTATCAATAAGAGAATGTTAACGATATTCGGCATCAGCACTATACCTTATTCTTCCCATTAGATGAAAAAAATCGTCGACAGTTTGCTAGATATTTTGACTTCTAGGCGAGAGTTTAGATGATTTGGACGCATAGTAAAAGGACATGACCGTTTAAATTTATTCGTGCAAGGAATTCTCGTGTGTTTGAATACTTCTATAACTCTTCTTTATTAAATATCGTAAGCCCCAGCAGGTTCTTTACCTAGCTAGTATGTTATCAGTGTAACAAGACCTATTCCCTGGAGTATTGAAACGCTAAGGCACTTCCAGGTGGTCACCATGTGCAGTTGTACAGATTGCAATGCGCAGGAGTGCTTGCATAGTCGCTTGATAAGTAGTCTTCCTTCATAACGGCTGATTGGCTAACTGTGAATATCTACAGCAACTAGTCAAACTGCTGCACCCTTCTATCCATCTGCTTATTTCTGATAACTGCTGATAAAATATAAACGAGAGAAAGCCACTCATATCAAATGTCATCGTTCAGATCGCGTTACCCTGATTCAAGCCAGTACGTTTATGATAGCCCTTCATCACAGGTATCTTATGCAGTTTTTATTCACATTTTATGAGCGGCAAGTTATTCAAAATTGTACATCGACGTTTTCACATCAAATAATTTCAGCGTGTACAACCGATCTATCGCGATACTCGTACGAATGGGAAAGATGTCACGGTGAGTGTGCAATACGCTCCAATAATAATTCTTGATCGCGCCGAACTGATTCCTTGATTCGATTAGTAAATGAACTGAGAAAGCGGTCCGTTTAGCGTTTTGGGAAAAGGAGATGTTCGGATTAGCTCTCAGGGTTCTGTATTGAGCATTTGGCTAATGCCCGTTACATGTAGACATTAAAGAATATCAAAGAAAAACTAAATTTTAGAAGAAAACTCGGATTTTAATTCTCCGAGACTTCTTGTCTGTCTCTATTAAACATCGTAGAAGAGTATTGCATTTAGTCATCACTATTTGGAATGACCTGTATCGTGTTTTATTTTTCTTCGTTTTCCCGAGTTTTATTCCCTGTAGAAATGTTTAACACATTCACGATGACTCGATGTTTTTCCTTAAAAAACAGACACGAGATTGTTATTATAGAATTTATTAGGATACAATAGCTGACGTTTCGGCGGATTTCGCCTTCTTCAGAGCCTGGAAATGTCAAATTGAGATGCGATCTACTCAGCCAAACACGTTCGTAACCCTAGCAGATAAAACTTAACAAATAAACTTGCATTCGCATAAGAAACAGTTTCATTTAAACACCTACCGTTTATTTGTTGTAAGTATTTAAGTTAGTTGGTGGATAGCAGCCGCACAGAGTAATACATGGGCCAGGATTGTACCTGTGTCAGGTCATTGGATCAGCCTGTGATATGACACCAGGTCGCTCGTGATGACAAGACATTCCTCCTTGCGGTTCATTTTTGAGTTTTTGGAATTTATCCAAAACGCTTCAAGAGTTTTACGCGCTGATGCTTTCGATTCCTGCGTGAGGATAGTGACTCCTACTTTGAAATCTTCTCGGTTGTGTTCCTGCATCCCGTGCCCGCCTAGTGGAGTATTTTGTTTTATTTAGATTCACTGACTAGGTGTTCTTTTATGCGGACGCAGAACGGTCAACCCGTTTCGCCAACCTATTCGTCCCCGAAGGCTTTACAAGAGATCGATGGACTGTACCCGAACTCATGCAATCACCGTCTCTACCGTTGGGCAAATTATGCAGTTTTTCGTTATACATAGACGGTCATATAGACGGTTGCGAACTAGCTGGCGTCTTAGAGTGTCCGGTGGTATTTCTATCACTCTTACGGAATTTTCTAGACCGCCCCTTATTAAGCAACGTTTTATAGCTGCACTTATTTCGTTTGAAATAAAGGGCAACAGGAACGGAGCCTTGTCTTCGCCAGAATTATCGCCCTGGGGCGTGGGTTTTCCTCTATGCGTATGCCGAGAAGCTACAGTTTCGTAACCATTTGAAACGGCTATTTGGCGGGTCAGTTTCGAGGATTCTTCTCTCTGCTCCCTACCTGTGCGTACGGTGTTGGCGGTTCGAAACACATTTCTTATAAGCGCCCTTTTAGTGTGTGAGGGCTGAGAGGAGAGGTAATGAACCACTATGTTCTCACTGCTTGACTTTCGATACCATTTTGTGTTGTAGCCGTTCTCGGATAGGTTGATTTGAACGTTTAGAAATGGAAGCCAGTTTTCTTTCGGTTTCTCACGGGTGAATTTTATGTACTTTTTATGTACTCTGACTGTTCATTCAATAATTTAAAGCATTTGTCCATCTCCTCTTGTGTGGAGCAGATGACAAAACAATCATCTATATACCTACAGTAGAGTAATGGCCTGAGATCGACTACTGGTGCTTCCACTTTAGACATAAAGGCAACGGCAAGGGTTGGTGCCAGTCGCTGTCCCATTGCCAATCCTAATTTGCGCGTAATATTTCCCGGACCATCTGAAGATCGAGCAGTTTAAACAGACCTTTAGGAGGACCATGAGCTGCTGAATCGAAAAGCCATACATGTTAATTGCTCTTTCGTGTTGCTCAAGAAGCTCGCGGATGGCTTGGATTGCGGAGTCGTTTGACACGTTAGTGTAAAGGGCGGTAACGTCAAACGACTCCATAACGTATAACGTAGGGGAAGCTCCTAGCTGCATTTAAACATCTAGGAACATTCCATGTCTATGACGTGGTCGTAAACTATAAAGCGGGTTACATTTATAAGAACCACTTTCTCTTTATGTATGACGAACTTCGAAGCCATAAAAGAATAGTCTGATTAAGTTTCCTGGAAGAACCTTTTACTTCCGAACACCTGTATTGGATGATTCCCAGCGCTTCAGACATTTGAGTGTCTTTTGGTTTTTAGCCTTTCAATTTCAAATGTAAAGAAGTGTTTGCAGTTTCTTTCAGTTCCTATAAGTTGTGTGTAAAAATCTATGACAAAAGCACCGAGTTATGCCCATAAGTTGTTTTGTTAAGACCGTATCTCGTCCTGGATCTCCTGGACCAGTCGCGGGAGCTGGTGATGTTGTTAACACACCACACGGCTTCACCATACAGCTGGACGTGAAACTTTTCAATCCGGAAGAAATTAAGGTATGATTGTTTTTATCCCTCTTTTAGAGTAGGAAAGGAAGGAAAGGCAACTCTACTATGTACTACAATCAGCAGTGGACACCATTTAGATGACTAATAATCCTTTTTGAATAGCTTCTTAGATTTCTCTGCGAAAATCTGTAAACGATGACACCGAGAACACCTAATGTTGAGCCGAAGACCAAAAGTCGATCCACCAAGACTTGCTGTCGGTAGTTCGCAAACAGTTAAAAGGCTAAGTGTTTATCGACGAAAGGCAGTGTAATATTTATCGAGTTCTAGTAGAGAGATTCAATTCATTCTAGAGAGTCGTAGAACTTGGAGAATTGTTCACATGAAGTCATGAGGACTCCAAGTTCAGTTTCTTCTTTTGACATTGTTGAAAAGTTGTTCATAGGAGAATACAGCTATAAATTACTCCTCATTCATGTATAGCATTCATGTATAGCACGAACATGTTATAACCAAAGACTGTGATATTTCCTTAAATGTTCTCCAGATGGAAAAAATATTTAGGTGGTGTTGACGGACGACATGTTATGTGTCAGTGGGGAGCGAATAGAAGAAGGAACTGGAGGACAGACATTGAAGCGCTCATTCGCCAGGAAGTATTGCATTCCGAATGACATCCAGTTGGATTCGATTCGGAGTCATCTCGATCATTACGGTCTTCTCGTAATCACTGTAAGGAAGATTTTTAGAGCACTACCACTTTTGTTCACATCTGAGTTTACGCAGACCTGAAATGGTGTGGCCAAAACAAGAAGTTTTTTCTAATTCAATAGAACTAAAAGGGCGCGTGTAGTGCAGTGATCGGAGATGTCTTGCAACCCACACGTGGGATCGATCTACGCGCCCATGGCCCACCAAGCCTTCCATCCCCCCGAGGTCGACAAATTAGTGCCAGATTTGTCTGGAAGGATAGCAGTATTGTCTTGACACATCGGTAGGCCACCGCTAGTCATTGTAAAGGCCAGACATGCATTCAATCACCTCCAAACAATGTTTAACGAAGTCGAATGCATGGCGCATCTTTCAGAGGTTCATCAAAGCCGAAAGCTATATCGTTTATCATTTTTTAATAGAACTAGAGGGCACATTTTTTGTAAGCTAACTTTGAGAGTCAATCTGAAATTTCTGAACACGTATGGGATTGCGTGCTAAGGTGTTCAATTTACTCGTGGAAATGAGTGATGAGATTAGTTAATCGACCGTAGGAAGATGGTAGCTTTAATTGGAGCTTCCCACTAGTATGATATGGTGATTCATTCATGTTTGCTATATACAAATGTATCAAATGAAAACATCAAAAACTTTTCATTTCTGTTTTCTGGAGGAGCACGTATGACATGTTTGCGCTCAACAGGAAAACTGCTATTTGATTCACGTTCTAACAACCACTGTCAGCTAACCGAAACCAACATCTTTCCATTAATTTAATTTGATGCGTTTCGATTGAATTTTCCATGAGAATTCCTGACATTTATGGGGCTGTTGGAGAATATTTTTCTTTTGTAAAGTATAAAATTTATGCATATAGTGGGCATGTGTGGTGCAATCGTCAGAGTTGCTCTGCAATACACATGCGGTCTTGTCTAGAAGGGTGAAAACACCTGCGTTTTTGCTTCGCAAGTCGTTATATATTAGAACCAAACGTGATGGTTACTTACTAAGATGCTTGGATGGCCCGTCCTCACTGGTTGTGCGGGCTCCAGCATATTTTTCACTTCGTTTTTCTAGTTTAGCCGTTGTGGTTCCAGGGAGTCCCGAGGTCATCCAGGCCAATGTATACCCCAGGATGTCATCACCGCAGGCAGTCGCCGCCCTTGTGGATCAGAAGGAGATTTGCCACCACACGACTAGTTTGGTACTAGAACGGTGGTGGATCCTGGCATTGGTTTGCTCTTAGCTGGACTTTCTGATGGAAACTCTGGGCTCCTTCCCATCTTGTGAGGCCTTGTTGGGGGATTAATCTCCCGCTGTACATCGAGGTCAGACACCCTGGAACACCTCCCAGCCACGATGAGGCCATTAGCCGTTGGGTGGAACGTGGTCCTACTCCTGGTTATTCTTAAAAACAATTCCCACAAGGATTTCAACTCATCGACAAAAACTAGATGGAAATAGGTGATTTGATCTGATGCAGTGTAATTTATCAAGATGCCCAAAAGAGAACTAGTTTAAATAGCTATAATGACTTTGCCGTTACAACATTTAGTAGAACTCTCGAAAGCTAAACGGTGCACGGGTGTCCACCATCTCGTCTCATTATAAAGGATTTAACAGAAAGGCTAGAAATAAACGCTTTCCGGTCTGCAGCACAAACATTGTTGCTAGAGGGAAAGCACCTGGAATCCTCTCGTCTGAGGTGGGTGGTGGGTGCAAATGAACAAGAGCATAGAGACCGTCGCCATTTCAAAGACTAATGGTTTTGCGACTAACTTGGATAACTAATTTTATTTGTGTTGAAAGCCGCAAACAACAAACACTTATAGCAGTCCCCACAGCATCATCATACCTTCAGAAAAAAACAGTCCTCGAATTCAACGTAGTTATTCTACCTAAAAAGGCTAATTGAAGCGATCTGCGCAGTTAACGTCTAGTTGAAGCTATCCTACAAATAACCCAAATGACGGACTTCAATAAAAGATCAATGATTTAAGGTAATAGACTTATTACAGGTGTACTGAAACATTGACTCCTCTAAACTATACTGGGGACCCAGAAGATGGCTGAATTACTTGCGTCTTCTCTTGATTTTCGTTGGTGACAAAAGCAGAAACTAGTCCAACCATGTATAGCAATTCTCGTCGACTGATACCGTAAAAATATCACGACGATATAGCCTTTTGTCCTCTTCTTTCCATTGCTATAGAATGAAAATGATCCGATAAGCCGACGCCATTTCATCATATCTCTTAGCACTGCTCTGCAATTCCTATTAGCCACTGGCATGGGATAAAAAGGAAAAGACAGACCGCTAGTGGAAAACTCCTTCCATATTTTCGTTATTCAAGTGATATCAAGTGATAATGTGTTGATGAGGAGTAACCTTGAGACATAAATAACGATGAGCTCAACAAGAGGGGAAGGAATTCTAACCGTGAGTAGACCTGATGCTAACCTACTTCTTGAAAGGTTAGTTTTTCAGCAAGAACGGCGTCACCATAAGCAATGCCTAAAGCTCTATCCTTTGTCCTGTACTTGTTCTGCACATAAGCACGCCTGTAACTTCCACAGTTCTCTACATTTGGATACCAATAGAAAGAAGATAAGCGTCTAAGTGTGGAATCCCGTTTAATTTCTACTTTTAGAACAGCCATAGAAGACCAACATTCTGTTGCAGTTTTCGCGTTCGTCGATTTTTTTTTTGTTCATATATCTGTTTCCCAACCCAGCTTTTGACATGTGAGCTTGCCTTTTTTCAGGGTTCACGACGTGGTTGGAAGGAAACCAACATCAGCATCCACCCTCGTTCCAGCTACATTGATCGACGAGCCGATTCGGTCATCAGCACCGTCTGAGCCTGCTGAGCTAACGTCAAGGACTATGTGCAAAACTGAAAAGAAAATCTTATGAAGGTTTTTTTGCGCGTACTTGCTTCTTTTCTCCACACATTGCATATTGTCGTAAAGGAGACAATCTGAAAAGCTTCAAGAGCCAGCTTGCTTAATTTTTAATTCGTGTTGTTTGTTCAGTCGTAGTACAAATTTCTTCGATAAATCGCCATATTCAAATTTATATACCTGATTGGCTTGTTTTGGTTCCTTATTCTCAGTTTATCTTTCTAACTGGCTTGTATTGATTTCTGATTCTCGATCTATCTTCCTAACTTTCGCTACAAAGTCATTTCTTTCCTCCTTAGTTTTTCTATAATCAGGTCTCAGACGATTGTCCATGAGATGATCACTGAATTGATTTTCACCTTTTTGCTACCCTTCTCTGGCGTAGTATTTGGGGTGATATCCAGCTTTCTATATCCCTACAAGGCTTAAAATACACTATATTACGTAATAAGAATAAAGAGCGGCTATCCACTGTTACTGCCATGCGATCGATCAATATGCATATTCTACGCTGGTGGTAATTATCTCATCGTTGTGAGTTCCCATATATCTGACTGTCTAAGCTGAGTATTTTAATGGATCGCTCGTTCATTGTTTTATGTTTCGCTTTCATTGCCAATAATCTCTTGCAAGTGCGTATAAATTTCCGGTTCATATAGAGTTCCTACTATTCGTCGTGGATGTGTTTTCCATTATTTCAGCTAAGCTTTAAGATGAACAACTACGATCTTTGTTTTTATTGTAGTTATAATAAAATGTTTCGCTAATTTTTCTAGTCATTATTTCATAAACATTTTTTCATAACGCATAACTTAAACTTAGGGCGCATGTGGCGCAATGGTCGAAGGTGCCTTTCCACCGTGCATTGTTCCAGAGATCAAACTTGATTTACTTACGCATTCGTGCGTTTTGCCGTCAATGTGTTGTTTGATTATCACTAATTTAGTTAGTTGAGAAAGTAGAACTGGGTGCTAGCCATCTGGTACCACTGTCGAGAGCCATGAGCATGAATAAATTCGAAGTTTGAGTTACTCCCATTCTATAAAGTACGCAGTTATCCTAAATTTGGTCATCTCCATGAGTTCCTGTCCTTAGTTGTGTTCACTTAGCTTCTTGGCCACAAGTGTTCAAAATATTTGCAAGTTGAAGTTGACGACCGATCAGTTTGTCGATGTCCAAGCTTACCAACCTTCTTTAACCCGTTCCTTTACCCATACCGTTTATCCATAATTTAGCTAGTTGAGAAAGTAGAACTAGATGCTAGCCATCTGGTACCACTGTCGAGCGCCATGAGCATGAATAAATTCGATGCTTGAGCTACTCCCATTCTATACAGTACCCATACCGTCCTTCATTTGGCAGATTTCGTTCACTAGTTAGTTGAATCAGGCGAGAACGATGTGAATCATGGGTGAACACCACTTTCCATGTAGAGATCCTTAGAGCCACTGTACACGTTTCTTTGTGGGATGATGTGTCCTCCTAAGAGTTGAATGAATTAATTATTAATGGTAAGGTTTGTAGGAAGGCGGTCTTTCGAGCTATTACGAGATGTCCACTTACAGCAAAATATTCACCTACCCGAACAAATCAAAACGCAGAACTCTTTTCCAATCTAAGAAGGGGTGGCAGAATGTGAGACATGTTGTTTGGTGCCAACGAATGATTGTCATGCAGAGCGATCTCCAAACGAAATGGTAGGAAATAATGGAGAGAGCGATCAAATTTAATCAATTTCCAAAGGATGCGCCATACATTTGACTTGGTAAACAGTCGTAGAAGTGAATGAATGCATATTTGGCTTACACAGTGAGTTTTAAAAAAGACGTTTTACCGATGTATCCAATTAGTGATTTTAAACTCCCAGAGATGGGTGCTAATTTATTGTCTCTGAAATGACTTGGTTAGTTCGGCTCGCGGGGCCGAACCAAAGACCAAAGATCAGGAGGTCACTTCTGGCCGATAAACGCCCTTTTATTGGAAAGCTCAGCCCTTTAAATGCGATTTCTTGTGTTTCATTGACTATCATGACAAGGGATAGAGTTCATCTACTCATTAATCAAGCGAAACACTGCATGGTTTTCCAAGAATTCGCAATGACATGATCGTTGCTTTACGAGGAAACGCACCATAGTGTAAAGCTTCCATGTGAAAAAGATCCATCAGAAACCTGCACAAGCAGAGGAAATCTCTGTGCCGAATCTATCAGTCTGCAGAGGACTTCACTTTCGAATGTACGTAGGAACGTCGCCTTCTGCAACACGCATCAGACGTTCAAGTGGTTCGTTGATCGTCTCTTTTACTTGCAACTGCTGTAGATCCTTTTACCATTGATTCTGACCGTTTCTTTCCACAGACTGAAAGTGTTTCGTTAGTGCTAATTGCTTCCTTATAAAGAAAATCCATCTTGGAATATGTTGGCCGACTCCGGTTAGTAGTATTAATGTAAGACGAGTTACCTTAAATTTATTCTTAAAGTGTAGAGATAAAAAGCACCAATTTCTTATCAATTGTCTATCAAGAAAGTCTGCCAGAACTATTATTTCTCCCTAGTGTGGATACAAATTGTCGTATTGTGAGTGGATTGCAGTTTTGAGGAAAGAGAAATGTTCATTAACAGATTCTACGAGAATCCTGGATCACGCTATCCGATCATATTGTGGAAATGGCAGAATGAAAATGTGTTCTTTTTATGCTTTGTTCAATTGGAAGCTTAGCAAATTCATTGCTGAACATGTGCTCAATGAGGGAAGAATGACATTCACCAAATGAGTGAGGAGTGTGGCTCCGAATTAATGGACGCCGTGGTCCGCCACAAATATTACCTACATAAGTTAAGCCCAATACGTCTTCATGCGTGTGTTAAGTTGCTAGAGGAGAAGAGTTTCCAGGTCTATTTATTTGAATAGCCACGTAAGTGGTGAAAAACTGATAAACAAATGTGGCAATACTTTCTTGATTTATTTTTCTCCAAGTAACCGTATTCGTTTAACAGTAGTTGCTGAAGCTTCAGCTCTTGATAATGCCACGCTTTACTAGAAGCCTATTCTTTTGAAATTGCGACGATGACTTCCATAACTTCCTTGCACGCAAACTTAAGTGCGTAAAGTCGCCATGTGTTCTCATCCTCTTGTTTGTTGTACATCGATTTTCTTGTGCACATCGTTTTCATTTGCACACTTCTGAGAAACAAGAGGTTTTATTATTTCATTTCACGTTTGCATGTGAACTTTGTGCGGTTGATCTCCACGTGAAATACTCAGTGAGAGAAGCACGCAAAACGGCTCTGAAGAACACGAAATCCGCCGAAATGTCAGCTTTTCCGTTAATAAAGTATAACGTAGCACCTCGTGTTTGCTCATTAAGAATATGGTGAATTACTTGATTAGTTACTTCAGTTCAGCAGCTCTTTCTTAGATGTCAGCCCCAACGGATCGTTTATTAGACTGTAGCGACCACTCGCGACGTTCTTATACGACCTTTCGTGTGTCGAACGTGAGCAGCTGGCGCAGGGAATCGGAGAGAACTGGTGTCTCAGTGCCAGATTAGTAACTTGGTCTATGGTCGCTACTATAATCCATGACCTTCAAGGAGAATACGCAAACTGACTTCTTTCATCCTTCTGCGTTTCATCAAAGCGAGGCTTATTGTATGTATCTTGCCATCTATAACACTTGTATAAAAACTGTTATACACATACAAGACAATACGAAGGGCTAGATTGCAGGTTAAAGTCAGAATGTCATCTATGTTTCTGACGCCGTTAGATGCGAGAGAGAAGTGAGTGCTTCGATTCAGAAAACCCTATGTTAGTGTTGAATAGTCAATGACTTTCACCCTATTTTCTCTCTGCGCTCAAGGAGCAGGTGAATGATTTCGGATGACAAGACGCAGCCTTCATCTGTTATCGCACACCTCTATTTACACATTCGAACGGCATTACGTTCGAATCCACAACAACAAAATAGCGTTAACACTTTATTTAATTCATCATTTTACGAACTATGAGGAGGGTCTCCTAATCTCAGGACTTCCGATAGTTTAAGCCACAGATTTCGTAAGCAATGTATCGGAGAGGGAGGAGAAATGTGTTCTGATAGCCTCCTGTTTCTTAATGTCTTTCCAAATTGTCCTCACTACTGTAATTTCCAGAAGTTTCCCTCATTGACATTTGAAACGTCCATACTCAGTCAATCGCGTTCTCAGCGCATGATGAGTTATGAAAAGATTATCTGGAGTTTTTCGACACAGTAGGACAGTGGTTGGCTTCACCGATCTTTCGCATTTGTTGACGCGCTTCCGCCATCAGTCAGTCTATGCTACACCGCCTGCTCCTCCGCCTCTGTCATCCTCATCCTCAATTCTCCGTTGGTAGTTTACAATGTAGAGGAGATCGATGCTAGAGGGGCTTAGCGAGTCCGTGCAGTGTAAGCCCCAATTTCACCTCAATCGGCGTTGATCGCATCCATTTATATATCAGCTAGACTGATTCCGTGTCAGATATTTTCGCAATTACGCCTATCCGTCAGGAATATTCCTTGGATTATTGAGAATATGTGACTATTTCATCTTTTCTTCCTCATGTACAGCTCCATTACCTTTTTAGTTCGTAATATTTGTCGTCATTCGTTAAGCTGAAATGTTTTGGTCAGTCACTTCTGTTAGATTCATCGATAAAAATGATTTCCATGTGCTTTAATAATAACATAACGAGAACCTGATTTTGATCGCGCACCTGTGGACAGTTACTTTTCCCTGGCATTACTTACCTACTCTCTAGGCTTCGTCAAATCAGATCTTCTCAAGCATGATAGTTTTGACGATGATAGTGGTGATAACAATTTTGGTACAGGAGAGCTCGGTGGTGAGCATGGTCCAAAAATGACCGAAAATTTTGTGAACTCTTCAGTTGGTGATCACCACGAAGAGGACTTTAGGTTTTGCAGTGCTAATATGAATTGTTGAGAATTTGCGGGCATGAGCGATGAATAACGTTCTCCAGAACATTTGACAGCATTTCCAGAGCAAGAGGTTCCGAAAGAGCGATGAACGATGGATGGGTGAGTCGTCCACGACGAATCAGCGATGGAACAAGAACGCATTCGTTTTACATCACCATGTCGCTGCTATTCTCAACGATCTCCTCGATCCAATTGTTTCTTATCATTGTTTCTCTCTGCTATCCTGAATACCATATTGCAGCACCATCACTTCGTTTTGTAGGTCAGTCGAGATAAATATACAGCAAAATCTGTCTCGTCGTCATCCAATTAGACTTCGATGAGTTCCTTCATGGAGTGTAGCATGATCTGGACATCGGGTGACTAATGATTCAATCACGAACGTCACTTCCATTGTATTTATTAGAAAATTAAGGGAATGCTTTACCTTATCGTATCGTAGCCGCTTTCAAAGGTCACGTCATCATCTGCCGTATTCACGATTACACACGAACATTTTATGTTCGTAAGCATTCATAGTCACAAAGCCACAAATGAAACGTTGTTGTATGGTACCTTACTCGATGCATTGCCACTATTGGGCCACATAGACTGAAAATCCGAATATGTGGAAGACACTTAGAACACTCCACAACAATCAATAGCGATTGTAAAGTTGTCGGATGCAGATGAATTCTTGGAAAGCACTACTGTTTACTTCATTGGGCACCATTTGCTAAACATAGCAGTTATAGAAGACGAAAATACCACTTCTCAGTTAGCAATCAAGATCGTCGTGCACTTACAAATCGAACATAACTATGACTAAGAACTAAGGGAGCTTCCCGCTCTATGAGAAGAACGCCAAGGTTTTTGTCGATTTTGTTCTCAGCATGCATTTTTTGCCTTGGATTCGTTTATCTACCGGAGCCTTTTTGTTTTATTATTTCTTTTACCTCACCTAGATATGCTTCTGGTCCGACCTGCGATTTTGGAATGTGTTCCTGGAAGCGATTTTGTGAATTCTCTACCAAGTGTTCAGTGATGATTCCGCAAGCTAATGCCAGTAAAAGGACATGGAATTCACTTTAGAATCATCTTTAGCACATAAGATCTGCTTGAGAGCGTGTTGGTATGACCACTTCCATGGAAGAGCTCGACCTATTACCAATAGCTTTTTATATTAGAAACTTAAAAATAAAGAGCATTATACGAAAGATTTAAGGATCGCTTTAGTGAGAGGGTTCTACGAAAGGGTTTTGAAGTGAAGCGAGGCGGAGACGTTACTATCACCCACTTGAGTGGTTAAACAATACAGGAGATTTCCCGTGGTTGCATAGACGACTGTGCTGTTTTGAGAAGTTTCCTTTACTATCTGGGAGAATTTTCCTTCTCAAAAATAGGAAAAGAAGTAAAGAAAGAAAATAGGTTTCCAAATTCGAGCAGCGATGAAACCGATGGAGATGTTGCATCGTGGAGTTTTAGTGAAGCTTTACAAGTATTTAGGGTGCTCTTCTTTCCGTGTAGATAATGCAAAACGTCACAGCACGTCAGTAAAGGCAACTGACCAGGAGGAACATGAAGAATGTGGCGTCGATACCGTAGCCGCCGTCGAATCGCAATGATTCATGCGTCATTCTACGCCGATAACGCCCATTCCATACTATTGTCTTTCGTCTTTACTAATCGATTTCATTAGGAAAAAATGCTCTGAGAATGATGTGGGAGTTTCTTTGTGAAGAAAATGAGCTGACTTCTCTTCTTATCAGAACTAACGTTCCATACGAAATCTGAAGTCCGACGTATTCATGCAGTACTCGAAGTGCCAGACCACATCATGAAAACGCTTCTCTGTCACACGGTTTCGATGTTATAACTGCACAACTTTTGCCTCATAGTTTAATGCTTTGAGGCGGGCACAGAGCATTGATTAGTGATGATGTCGATCAGGAGGCAAAGGTAGTAGTTCGATCCCCCTCCTATGCCGTTCTCCATTCCTAGTTGGAACGCCATACTTTGGCTATCCTCCAAGGTGGCAAGGAGAATCAACTCAGCCAGCATTCTACGGTGTTCATAAAGAAGTCGAAATCCTCATGCGGCACCTTAAACATTATGCCAAATATGTATTTTTTTCTTGATAAGCTTACGCGAGGTTGATAAATATATTTATCAACCTCGCGTAAGCTTATCAAGAAAGAATACATATTGATTAGTTACACCGAGGTTCAAGGAAAGTCGGTTTCGAAATATTATGCGAAATGTTCGAAAATCGTTGTGGACGATGAATCTGGGGAAAACAAACTGAATGCGAGAGGGACCCCCGGGATCCGGACAGTAATTATGATCGTGGGTCATGTGGAATAAAAAAGTCGAGTGCTTTATTGGGAAGGTGATCTCACTTCCTTCGGAACATCAGAAGTAGGTTATTCAGTTACTGATATAATAACACTTCGAACGCAGACCTTTTAAATCGGATCTAGCGCGAAGGGAACTAAGAGTGATCAATACTCAAGTGGATTTACTTCGCTATTACGGCTCGGCTCTAGTGAACGTGAACTGAAGGCTTTTCTTCGCTACTGAAAATTGTATATTCATAATCTGAGATCGACGAGATCTCAGACCTCAATTCTCAATATGGAATCTTTGAACTTCTGAGCTTTCAAGTATTCAACCTCAGTAATGGCAAAAGGATATTTGGATACAAGTGCAATAATATCCTCTTCATATGAAAGAATTTCCACAAAAAATAACTCGGTTCCAAGCGAGTCATTGTTAAGAGCTTGAAAAAACTTGTGTTTAAAATGGCACCCTATGGAATGGAATGTTCCCATTGGTTCACATTGGTCCGTAATTTTTCGTGTGATCTATTCGATCAATAGCACCGTTATTATTAATTGTGCTTGCTCCATCGAGCTTGTAACTATTCCGTCTAGCACTATTTGAGCAGTAGTAGATGGTCGTTTGTTGGTCGTGATCGTGTGTCATTTCCTTTTCTTTCTTTTTCTCTTTTTTTGCTGTTCCGTAAATGTATTCTTCCGCACGAAGTAATTCAATCGAATTGTCGAAACACGTGTGTTTCAAAACTCCAGCACCATTTTGCAGGCAGTCCAGTGGGCGCCTCGTCGGCAGGCGACGAACGCAATGCTGCCAGCCGCTTTTCTAGCGGCCCTCTTGATATTTGCCTTTGAGCGGCCGGACAGGTTACCTAACTTTTTATTACTTACCAAAAATCCCAGTACTTCTTTGTGCAGCTCGTTTTTGAATGTTGATTTTGTAATCTTCGATGAGGAGAGAATGACTGTGAAAAATGGATTTGCCTTTGTGAGAGTGTTGTAAGAGTCGGTTGAGCACGGTAGGACCGACACTCGCCTTAACTTAGTGGAACCGCGTTTTCTTTTCTTTTTTCTTTCTAACTTAGCCAAGACATTTTTGAAAACGATTGCTACCGAAATATCTTTTTTCGAGTGCGTGGGCGAATCTCTGACGTAGGTGGCTCTTCTAAGGCAAAATAAGTTTTATGAACATTGCTTAAGGTGCCATCACGATCTTCTAAGCGTTTCTTCTAAGGATGTCAAAAGTGATACGTCATGAGAGCCCAGATCTAAAGGATTCACTCATCCATTTCTGATCTAAAAAGTGGCAATGGAGCAGTAATTGTTCTCTCATACAAAACACTCGAGTACAACTGAGAGCATAACTAGTTATGATGGATGAGCAGTTCGCCGATGTTGTTCACCGTTTATAACGCTATCAGGAAACCGACGTTTTCTTTGTGCAGTGTTCAAAGGCTAACTACCATCTTAATTTGATACTACAGGGTTGAAAAAAACTATCGAATGAAACAAGCGAAAAGTGCACTAAAAACAGTAGATGTGCCACTTTTCCTTTGCCTAGCGTCTCCACCTTCTCATAAGTCGTTGCAAACGCATTCTCGAGGAGGAAGCAAGTTCCATGCAGCGAACGTTATTTGAGCAAATAGCACTTTCTAGTACGCTATACCGTGTCATTTTCATCGATACCAGAGAGGAACTATGTAGCCGTATAAGATCGATATTGATTGAATTAACAGTTGCTCTCGTACGAAATGCTGAGATATTTGCAAAACTCCGGACCACAGGTGTATGCAGTGGGGAACGAACACGCGCTGTTGTCCTTACTGGG